ACTCAGGATTTCGGCTTGACCTGGGTTAACCCACGCGGGCGACCCCCCAGTAGCCTTTACCTCTCTTCGCCAATAGGACCCTTTCCTAAGGCAATCCCACATCGGAAGAGAGTCGTCTTCCCCCCTCGCATATAAGCCCTTGCACTCAAAGGAGGAGGTACCCACTAGCGACCTGATCAGGTCGCTAGTGGGTACCTCCTCCTTTGAGTGCAAGGGCTTATATGCGAGGGGGGAAGACGACTCTCTTCCGATGTGGGATTGCCTTAGGAAAGGGTCCTATTGGCGAAGAGAGGTAAAGGCTACTGGGGGGTCGCCCGCGTGGATTAACCCAGGTCAAGCCGAAATCCTGAGTAGAGGGTTCTACCCCTTACAGCATCCAACAGAATTACCTATTATAGTATGGGTTAGCCATACCAATCCGGTCGGATGAAACGAGTTTATGCTACATGAGATAGATTGGTGCTAAAAAAATAATTTAGATGTCATATATTTTATTTGTTTACTAATTTGTATCTAAAAAATTGTATTATATCAATTTTATATCGTATATAAATTATGTATAATTGATATATAAATAAGTGTTATTATATATATTTTTTAATTGACTTCATTTATACTTAATTCGTTTATTAATCGTGTCGTATCGGTTTCATTCGTTTATGAAACATGTGACTTAAAAAAGACCATAATTCCCTAATTTTATTTTGTGTTAACAAGTGGTATCATATTTTGCCACCTCTAATATTAAATGCATGTATGCCTAAACATGCATATTAAGCTTTATCATTTAAGCATAGGAGTGATTATTGGCAGCACTTTTTGTGACAATTTATTCAAATATTTTTGAGTTTTTTTATATATAAATAGATATTCAGATTGGTCACTCCGGTCAGAAAGTATGTCCTGCTTGTTATTTTTGGATCAGAAATAATTTATTTAAATAAAACTTTGGCACCGTTTTATTATAGTATTGTTTTATCAAATTTCATTTTAATGATTTCAGTTAATATGTAGTTAAGGAATTGAAATTATAAAAGCTTATACAAAATATAGTTAAGTCTA